TTACATTATTCTTATTGAGACAATCACAAAAATCACTTCCCTTCCATTGTACAGTAACTTGTTGTCTATCTTTTGAGTGATAAACCAGCTCAACTGTGATTAATAGATTTTTATCTTTCAACATCTTCTCAAATAGGGCAGTGTTAACATTCTTTGAGACTTTGATCTTGATTTTGGATTTATGGTTTAGAATATGTACATCACCATCGTCTATTGTTACTCCTTCCATATCTGTACTATACTTTATACCTCCAAAACAAACATGTGAAGGTTTGATTTCTGAATGTTAAATTTTGGATAGGTTCGTTTGTAGAAATTATTAATTTCTTCAACTCCTTTAGCCCACATTTCGTCATGATAAAAAACTATTGGAAAAGTATAGACGACATGATTTTCTAAATAGTCAACAACAAGTTCATTTGGAATAACAGGATTAGGCAGAATGAAAAATCTACAATCATAACATCCATCAGCAAGTTTCTCCTTTGTAGATTGGGCTTCCATCACAAAAGATGTACTTCCAGTTATTGGATCGGTCCAACTATGACCAAAATCCATGAGTACTTCATTACTGAACGGCTCTTGATTTGCTTGTAAAGCAACACCAAACAACAAACAGTTCAATAACAGAATGGCAAACGTTTGTAATTTCATTTTTTTTTGATTAGTTGAATAGTAATATAATAGAAACATAAGTCTATTGTCTAATTGTGAGATTGTGGTTCTATTATTCGAATCGTAGAATTTTTTCACTAGAGAACCAGCATTTCTCGACTTGACACTGAAACTGTTGGTACTATTCAATCCATCCCCAACAATGGTATCGACCCTCCAATGACCACTCCATTGTTTTGAGCTACCAACACTAGCCAATCCCAATAATGATGTAGGTCTATTAAGCTTGTATATCATACATTGTGAATAATCGTAATAGTTTTTTAAAGAATATATACCTGTTTTGGCAGGTATAAAAGGAGTCAATTCACCCGTTGAATTCACTTTAGTTGATATGAACAATATGGATTACTTTTGAAAGGGAGAGGAACATAACATATGTATTGTTTTAAAATTGTTCCAATTGTCTTTTTAAT